TTGTCGACGGCCTCAAGGAACACCGACATAATGATCACGAACAAGTAAGGAGATAAAAAAAAACAAGCCTGTAAATTTCCAGCCGGTTGAATATTTTGCGATGATGTGGTTGCCCCATCTGTGACGACGAACGTACGCGCTTTATTAGATCGCGGCAATCATGTTCAGCATGGCGGGTGGTACTCGACAGAGGCGGAATGCGAACAACAGCAAAATCAAAACAAGTTTCACATGTTTGTCCTGCGCAGCAGCATCAATGAATCTTCGCACTAAGAATATTGCGTCGCTGGGGCCCTAGGCAGGCCGGAATCCATATTGAGATGTTCGTAGTTTTTCTTCCGTCCCTCCAATTTTTGAGGCGATGTAAAATTAGATGGGCCAACACTTTATAGCCCACCGCTAACAAAGATATCGGCCTATAGTTGGATGGCTCGGAGGTGTCGCGTGTTTTTGTTTTGGAAATTGATACAACGGATGCTGCTCGCCAGTGCGCTAGTAAGTCATTCTTCTGCCAACAATCATCGCGAAGCTCTCTTACTATCTCTAGGGCCGCGCTGTTCCTCCATAGCGCGTGCCATAGATCACGGGGCACTCCATGATTCTCAGCCGCTTTCTGCACCTTCAATTTGGACTGTTCGTCGAACCTCTTCCAACTTGATGCTAGCAGAGTCGATGGGTAAGAAGCCGCTGTCCTCCGCTAAATTGGGAAACTGCTCTGCCTCATTAATACTTTCCATGGTTATTTTTCCAAATAGATGGCCATCGTTTCGGCTCGCACCTCTGCGTCAACTAGATTGCCATGGGTATCCCGCAGACGCTCATATTTCATCGGCCGCCCTTTCCGAAATGATCAAATAGCTTGCCATCCGTTTTGTGTTATTGCTTCTTCCAGCCATGTTTTCCTGTCGGCAGGTGCCGAACATTCCCCAATCAGAGCTTGCCTCTGTAGGGGTCCTAGCGGATATAAAGCTGAGGTGAGGTGAGCGGCCGATTTCGGTGGCCGGGGCCGGGTGCCCGGGTGCCCGGGGGTTCCCGGGGGTGCCCGGGTGCCCAAGTGTGTGGCCGATTTCGGTGGCCGGGGCCGGGTGCCCGGGTGCCCGGGGGTGCCCGGGGGTGCCCGGGTGCCCAGGGGTGCCCGGGGTGCCCAGAAGTGCCCGGGGGTGCCTAGCCCAATAGCCCTATATCCCTATAGCCCAATAGCCCAATCGCCATATATGTCGGCGGTGCGCCGTGGCACGAACCCCCCCCCCAGCACTACCGGGGGGTTTCGTGCACTACCGGGGGGTTTCGTGCAGCCCGCACCGGGTGCCGCCAGCGGCTTAGAACACCCCCCCTTGCCGCTTTACTGGGGGGGTTCGTGCAGGCCGCACTGCGTCTACCTGGGCTCCCCCCCCCCCCTGTGGGAGTGGGGGGGTGGGAGTGGGGGGTGGGTTGGGGGGGGCAGGGGGGCGGTTGGGAAGGGTGGCTCCCTGTCGAAGTGTGGCGTGTGCTCGCCTTGTGTTCTCTATTCGCGTCTGCTCGCCTTTGTTCCGCCGCAGCCTCTCGTATTGTGGCTCGTGGTCACAATACGAGAGGCTGCGGCGCAACTCCCGAGAGCCGCTGTGGGGGGTCGACGGCACGGCCGCGTAGAGAAGAACAGTGCCGCCGTGTTCCGGCACGGCCCTGGGATGCAATGCCGCCGCCGTGTTCGGCCCGTCCTGGTAAGATTCGCGCGTCGGGGCTGGGTTTCGCGCGTGCTGGGAGCGCGCCGCTTACGGAGGGGTTGCGTCCTTACCGGGGGGTTTCGTGCAGCCTACCAGAGGAGGTCGTGTTTACCGGGGGGGTTCGTGCAGGCTCGCACCGGGAATGGCGCCAGCTCGAAACCCCCCAGGAGAGATTACCGGGGGGGGGGGGTTCGCTCCGCACCGGGCACCGCCGACATATATCCCTATAGCACTATAACCCTATAGCCCTATAGCCGTACCTATACGACCACCCTTCGGGTGATAAGGAGGTTCGGGGGGGGGAACCAACGTCTCACTCGATCGGTCTCACTATCGATCTCAGTATCGATCTCACTATCGGTCTCGCTCGATCGATCTCACTCGATCGATCTCACAATACATCTCACTCGATCTATCTAATTCGATCGATCTCACAATTGATCTCACAATCGATCTCACAATCGATCACACAATCGATCTCACATTCGGTCTCAATATCGATCTCACTATCGATATCACAATCGCTCTCACAATCAACGTCATCATCATCATCATCATCGTCATCATCATCATCATCATCATCATCATCATCATTATCAACATCATCAACATCAACATCATCACCAACATCGTCATCATCATGAGGGCACCGTCATCATCATCATCAGCATCATCATCATCATAAACATCATCATCAACGTCATCATCATCGGGACAGCATCATCTCATCATCATCATCACCATCATCATCTCATCATCAACATCATCATCATCATCTTATCATCGGGACACAGTCATCGTCATCATCATCAGCAGCATCATCAGAATCATCATCATCATAATCGGGACACCATCATGATCACCATCGCTCTCATCATCAACATTATCATCAACATCGTCATCATCCTCGGGACACCATCATCATCATGATCATCGCATCATCATCATCGACGTCATCATCAACAACATCATCATCATCATTGGGGCACCATCATCATCATCATCATGAGCAACATCATCATCAACATCGAGATTATCATTATTATCATCATCGGGACACCATCAGCATCACCATCATCATCATCACCATCATCATCAGCATCATCATCGGGACACCATAATCATCATCAACATCATGATCATCATCAACATCATTATCGCTGGGACACCATTTCCATCAACATCATCATCACCAACATCATCGGAATCATCATCATCATCATCATCATCATCATCATCATCATCATCATCATCGGGACACCTTCATCGTCATCATCATCAACATAATCATCATGAGCATCATCATCCTCATCATCGGGACACTATCATCATCATCGACACCATCATCAACATCATCATCATCTTCATCGGGACACCATCATCATCATCTCATCATCATCATCATCACCATCACCATCACCATCACCATCACCATCATCATCATCATCATCATCATCATCATCATCATCATCATCATCATCATCATCATCATCCTCGCGGGACACCGCGGGACACCGGCGGGACACCGCGGGACACCGCGGGACACCGGGGGGACACCGCGGGGCCCCGCGCCCCGGATGAGAAACATTTGGTCCCGCCGCGCCTCAGCCACAGGAGGACACCGCGGGACACCGGCGTGACACCGCGGGGCCCCGCGCCCCGGAAGAGAAACATTTGGTCCGGCCGCGCCTCAGCCACAGGAGACTTTTTCTCGCCCGCCCACGCAGCTTCGCCTCGCACGCACGGCACGCACGAAACCGAAACCGATTTCCCGGTGGGGGGCTCGCCGTTCCACTTCGATCTCACCCCTCACCTCCGATAGCCCTATAGCCCAATAGCCCAATAGCCCAATAGCCCCGTAGCCCCATAGCCCCATAGCCCTATAGCCTTATAGCCCTATAGCCCTATAGCCCTATAGCCCTATAGCCCTATGGTCCTAAAGCCCTATAGCCGTATATAGCCCTGTAGCCCGAATAGCCTTATAGCCCTTAGCCCTATAGCCCTATAGCCCTATAGCCCTGTAGCCCTATAGCCCCATAGCCCTAAAGGCTTCTAGCCCTATATCCGTGTGGCCACATCGCCCTATAGCCCCATAGCCCGCCCTAAAGGCCTAAAGCCCCATAGCCCCCCCCAAATTCTGATTGGGGTTTTTCTCTGGTATCATTGCATATGTTTGTTGAGGCCTTTCATAACTTGTACATCCACCCTGGCATTTCTACGGCGATTCCGCTCTTCGATAATATGTAGCGTTCTCGTTGAAATCCATGGCCGCTGGTGCTTCTGCGCGGAGATGGTTGGCAGAACATGTTGTGCAGATCCCAGCATGCATGTAGACACGGATTTTACCCTGGACTCAAGATCTGTACAAGGCGGGTTGCTTTCCCAATTGTGGACATCGGGTGAGGATAACATCGGGTGAGGATACATCAACAATCTCTGCGGTGCGGCGGCTCTGGAAAATGTCTCGGGCCCCGCGGCCTTCTCAGAGCGTTCCTGAACTCTCTGAGAGCGTTCCAGAACGCTCTGGAACGGATTTATCCTCGTCCTAGCCCCGTCCGACAGAACCCCGTGCAGAAGCAGCGCCACCTCCAACGTCAAAACAACGGCGCGGCAGCACATGCCGAGTTGCTCCTTGAGCCTCGAGTCGGCCTCGCCCGGACGACGACTGAGCCTGGCACCTGCCCACCTCCCGGGGCCCCACGCCCAGGGTGGTCGGGCACCGCCTGCCTCCTGACCCCTTCCCCTCACCCTCCTTCCTCCCTCTCTCCGCTCTGCTTCCTGGCCCCTTTGTCCTCCCCACTTTTGTTCGTGATGCGCGTCCCTGTTGCATCGTTGCTCCCGACATCAAGCTCCCTCAACCTGTCCCTGCCTTGTGGTTGGTTCTCGGCATAACTCGGCCTTCCGGCGGCCGTTCGAGACGATCAAGGCACCCCGGGGACGCTCCCGGCGAGCCGCAGCCGCTGGAGAGCATGCTGGGGCTCGAACACCTACTCAGGAGTTCACTATACAAGGGGGGTGGTCTGATTTGTGTGTGGTGGGGGGTCTGCCTGGAGCTGTTTTGGAAGTTTCCGGGGGGCCTGGACAAAAAACCTCCTTTTCATGGCTGGTCGGGGGGGGTCATAATTCCTCGTGTGGAAAAATTTTAATCCCCTCCGTTTACGACGATTTCGGGATACTTGCAGGAACAAGCGAAAACGTCCGAAAACTCAGGGAACCTCGGCGCCGATCGCTGTCGAACAGTATTTGAGCGCGGCGTGTGCATTCGGCGGCGGTTTCCCATGGGCGGGCGGGGGGGTCCTGCGCGAGGCGCGGGACCACGCCTCCCCACTGCTCGTGGATGTTGGCCTCCGCGGCCAAGGGGGAAAGGGAAACGAAGAACAAAGGATCAGGATGTGAAGGCGCTTTTCGGCACTGAAAGCGAAACCCGCGCGGTAAAACGAGAGTAGCACGGGCACGGCTGGTAGCTACTTTGGCTCACAACGGCCGCGGAAAAGACAAGGATATAAGGATCTACCTTTCGAGTCTGGTACTCAAGCGAGACAATTGTGCTTCGTCGGCCCACGTTCGCAAACCGCGCATGAACCAACGAGGAGAATCGAGCTACAGGGAGAAAACGTTATACCGACCACGTCCGTCATTAAGAACTGCCGTCAGCAGACAATTTGATGGAGCACGGCCTTATTCACTTGCATGCTCAATGTTCGTCTTGTTTGCTGCAACATGAACATAGCTCGTGAAAACAACCCTCTCACACGCATGATTCACGACGTCGCACTCGCGAACCTAGTTCGCGAGATGCGAGCGTCTGCCTAATTCCGTGTCGTCGTTGGGGCCGTGACCTGCGCTGACATAGTCAGTGGGAGCCCAGGTCGTCGTTGCCAGTGGTGTTGGGCGAACCAGCGACTTCGTCATGATGGTCGTAATTGCCCTCGTAGGTGAGACGACCGCGACGCGAACTCGGCGCTGTCTTTTTGTGCCGGTCTTCGCTCAACCTGGCGGCGTCGTGGTCGTAGCTGAGCTTCCGCCCACGAAATCGAGAATCAATTCTTCGCCGATGCTCCCCTTGGTCGCGGAGTCGGCCATCGTGTCTCGCGTATCGCACCAAAACATGTCATCGATCTGTTTGGCGCGGGACTGGGAAGTTAACCACCGCAAATGGCTGGCCTTGCTGTTCTCGGAGGGCGGTTGAACAGGGTCCATGGCTAAGGCGGAGAAGACGAACATGCCGTCAACGACCAGCTCGGCTGGCACGGAGTAGCCCCCATCTTCCCTCAGAGCCCTGATCTGCCCAGGCGCCTGTGCACGGCGCCTCTTATGCCGCATCCTGTCTCCTCCTCTCGCTCGAAGGCCCCATCGCTGTGCGCGCAAAGTCGCCCGGCGCACTTCATTGCTGGAAATGCGATGCCGTCTTGATCTTCTGCGCGGCCAGAACAGCGGAGTCGAGCTGCGTCGCGCGGCAGATGAGCAGCTTGCTCTGGGCCATTTGCAGCGTGACGACGCACGCGGCGACGCGGCGACGGGCGGGCAGAGCGCGGGCCGCTGCTCCCGGGAGGCAGACGGAAGAGGTCTGGAAGTTGACCTCTGGGCAGCACGTCGGCCATCGCCGTGGCCAAGTCGACGTGCCCGATCAGCGTCGAGGCGTCGATGTACACGTCCTGGTCAGCTGTGTTGATGCGCTTCGCAAGTAAGTAGTGAGGTCGTCGCAGTCACCCTCATCTTGCCGAAGACGCTCTCGATATGGCCGATTCGCCAAGCGACGTGCTCCTTTCGCCCAGCGCTCTTCAGATCGTCGAGGTGCTTGGACAGCATGGGCACTTGCTCCGAATCCGACGTCCAGCCCCACGGCAAACCCGACGGCAGGCCCGACGCCGAACCCGACGTCCAGCCCGACGCTGAACCCGACGTCCAGCCCGACGCCAAGCCCGACGCAGAACCCGATTCCAGCACCGACCCCAGCCGCCACGGGGGTTGCTGCGGCCATAGGGGATCCGCATTGGCAAAATATCCATGGTGAACGACTCGATTTGATGATGCCAGGCAACCTCGCGTTGGTAAGCATCCCTCGCAAATCAGACGCCGACAGCTCATTCCTTCGCGCGGTGGCCCGAACAATCATATTCTGCGGACAGCGTGACGAAATCTACTTTTCGGAAACCAAGATCACGGGGTCGCGGGCCTACGAGCAACGGGCGGGGGGTACCGTTTCCAGGCGCAGCAGGGACCCAGCGGCAATGGTAGGTGGTTTGCAGTGGGCAAGGTCGGGCTGAAGGTCGCCCATGGAAATGCCGAAGGTGGCGCCCAATATTTGAACATGTTCGTCGAACACTTGGGGCGTGCGGGATTAGCTGTCGGAGGTCTGCTGGGTGGTGATGATCACTCCGGCGTGAGCGAGCTCCTGGCGGGATGTGTGCAGCGCGCCAGCTTGGGGAACTCGCGCGGCCACGCGCGCGGCTCGGGTTCGTCCGTGGCCGCTGTTGCAGCTGCCATTTTCATGTGAGTTCTCCGCTTCCTCTAACGCTTCATGGATGGATATGGCCAGGTGGGCGGGGGGTGGCAAGACGGCCCACGATGCGCCTAAACCGCCCAAGAACGCCCCAAGTCGGCGCTCAAGACGTTGACGAGGAAACGAAAATGCTAGTCATGTGGCCCAAGAGGCCCCCAGGAGACCCCAAGAGGCTCCAAGAAGCGCCCAAAAAGCCCCAAGAGGTCCCCAAGAGACCCGCAAAAACACAAAAAGAAGCCCCGAACACGACCCAAGGGGCACCCCTATAGAGCCCCAGTGAGCAAACATCGCCGATTTCCTATAGAGGAACTGGTATGTTTGGCGCGTTCGCATTTTGGGCTTCCACTGCGTCCAAGACGGCCCAAGGAGCACCCAAGCCCGTCGAGGATGCCCCCCCAAAAAGCTCCAACGCGGCCCACGAGGGGGCCAAAACGGCACCCAAGGCGCCCAACCCGCCCAAGAACGCCCCGAATCAGCGCCCAAGACGGGGACGAGGAACCGAAATTTCGCATCATTCAGCTCCTGCGCGCTAGTACACACCAAGACTGGGGGCTCGGCATACGTGCGGTCACTGATCGAGTTCGCTGCCCACAGGGGACTGACTGACTGTCTGGCCACTCTGACTGCGCCAACTTTGATGCCTGAGTCGCCTGCTTCTTTGTAGTCGAGGGATTGCCTTGCGTGCTCCGCCCCTGGTCAGATCCCTGTCCCGTCGTGGTATTGTGTGGATCGTCAATCAGCCCACGTAGTTTCCTGACGACCTGCTGATGTCTTGGATTTGCGCCCACCTTGTCAATCTGTCCAAAAACGGTTTGGATGTGCTTCAAGATCCTGGGTTGATATCTCTCTGCTTCTTCTGCTTATTTGCTGGTTTCGGCGACGTTACAGCTGGCACATGAGTCCCCGCTGAGTATGCCAACCGCTTAACCACCGACGTTAGATTCTCCACTTGAACAGCAACTTGGTCAACCCGAGCACCCCGCCCGCACTGCACACGCCGTCCCCCCTGTCTTTCTCCGCCTCCGATGAGCGGAGCCTCGAGATATAATTGGCCAGCCTTCGCAGACGACATGATGGCGACCTCTTCTGGCTGTATCTGGCACGTCACGATGGCGCTGCATTGATTGTATGATGCCTCGGCGGAGGCCGTCCCGTCAACACCACAATGGAGGTGTACAGCTACGTTGACAAAGTTGATGATGACAATGTAGATGGTGACTGATGATGATAATGCTGATGGTGGTGGTGGTCATGCTGATGCTAATGTTGGCGACGCGGGTGATTATGTCATTGCTGGTGATGGTGGTAATAATAATGATGGCATTGATAAGGATGACGATGCTGCTGATGGTGACGATGACAATGATGGTGGATATCATGGGGGTAATGATGCTGACGATGACGATGTTGATGATGGTGATGATAACGATGGTTGTGGTAATGCTGGTGATCCTGTTGATGGTGGTTCGTACGGTGGTGATAATGATGAACAGCCGTACAACACAACATCTTATAGCAAAGCGTTGAGAGTGTGTGTGTGTGTCATGCCGCAACGTGCGCCTTGAGAACTTACAATAACAGATCGACTTGGAATGTGTTGTGTTGGCGTGTCTCGTCCTTCCTCCTCCTCGTCCTTCCCTGTCGGGGTCCCTCGTCTTCCTCGCTGTTCCTTCTCCCTCATCCACCTCCTCTTCCTCCTCCTCTGGCGGCCTCCCGCCCCGTTATGCGCATGTTCTATGCGCTACGCGCTTGTGCTATACGCTATGCGGCATGGACATACGCTCCTCACTATCATCTATGTGCTATGCGTATGTGACAGGACTACGCGATGCCCCCGCAAGGGGGGGCAATACTTCAAAATCGTTGTAAGCCAGCCAATCTTGGTCTGCCGTGCAGCGTGGAGATACAGAACAGACTGGATGGATAAAAGCGTTGGACAAAAACATGGGGGAACTAAAGATTTAGGTATCACGGGGCTCTCTGGGGAGGCCTCTTGGAAGCCTCCTGTGTCGGCGAAGTGGCCCGGGGGGCTGTCGTGGGGCGATCGTCGGTGTCGCAGGGACCTTGAAGCATCCCTGGCCGCTCTTGGACCCTGCTGGGGGGCGCTGATCCTCCAATGCGGAGCCATCTGGGGACAAGGGTGGGAGCCTCTGGGGCCGAACCGGGACGGTCTGTGCGTCCTCTGGGGCTGCCGTGCAGCGTGCGGATGCCTGATGGACGAAAGCGTTGAAAAAAAATAGGGAAACCAAGTGTTTGAGTTTTTGGGGGTTGTCTTGGGAGGCCTCTGGCAAGCCTCTGGGAAACCTGTGGCGCCAGGCGAAAGCAACCTTAGAAACGTCTGTGGTCGTGTCGGAGCGTCGGAAAGCTGAGATATGGGGGGCCCGGGGCCTTACTTTCCCTGTTTTTTAAACGAAGTTTCGGCCACCCGGAGCCACCAGAGCCCCGGGGGACGTGGCTGGGGGGGTCCCGCCCAGGGACCTCGGCGGGGCATGGGGGGCCCGGGGCCTCATTTTCCGTGTGTTTTGCTAAGTTTTCGGCCACCCGGAACCACCAGGACCCGGGGGACGTAAATGGTCGCGGTAGAGAGACCCGAACCGAGCACAACCAAGACCGCTTGTGGACCGAATGGGGCCGAATCAGACCGATACAAACCGAACTGGAGCGGCGAATCCACCCCAGGGGGTGGGGAACGAAACCCGAGGCCCAACAGACAACTGCCCGGACTCCCCCCCCTGCTCATCATCGTTGCCAGCCTCCTCCTCGCCCTTTGTCTTCGTGCTCGCCCTCATCCTCGTTCGCTTTCGTCTCCTCCAAAGCCTCTTCCTCCTCTTCCTCCTCGTCC